ACCAGGTTTCGGTTACGGCAATGAGATCCCATCGACCAGTCCGACAACGTAATTTCACTTCTGGAAACTTACTGAAAAAACCCTGAGCATTGGTATAGAAACAGTTTAGTCGTTGTCGGAGCAGAAATCCCTTGGAGTTTAGGGACGTAATTTGGCCGACAGACGTTTATTGCCGTAGGTTTGTTGGGTTTGGTCTGATGGGGTCGGAGTGGAGCATGAAGTTTGCCGTGTTTCACGGGCAATGTGATTGACATTTTCGACTGATGGACAATTTACCGGTCCTGAATTCAGCATCGGTCTTACGCGTAGTTCTTTGGGCCCTTTGGTTCTATGTTCATAACATGCCCGAAGAACTGTGTTTACCATTTATGGTGTCCCAAGGGTTACCTTCAGTATTTGCGGGCCATCTCCGCGATAGTTGGGAGAACGCGGAAGGCATTTATTGGCCATGGTAAAGACATTGCGGCAGTCTAACAATTCTTGAATGAAGTGCCATTCATAAAAAAAAACATTTTTTCGACAGTTGGATTCATCGGCCTCGGAGAGCTGTGGCACTCCGTGTATGAGAATTTCCCGCGAGTTGTCTGCATCGCACGCACTGTTAGGATCGTTCCGTCGGTGTACACGCTCAGTCGAAGGTGTGTCCGGTAAAATTCTGGTATTGCTGGACCCATGTGCAATGAGAAAACTAGAAAGAAGAACATTTTCAACGTCTTCTTCACTGGCCAGCGTCACACGAAGTAACCTGGGTTCTCCGATATGTGGTGATGTCGGTTGGCGCCAGAGAAGTATGAGGCTCACCGATTTGGCTTCTACACCCATTCGGGCACATACCTCTGCCCAGCGACTCAGATCGTCCTGTTGCCTCTCTCTCAATGATTGACTTGTAGGTTCTGGGAGATTTGTGTAAATTACCGTGAGTGCAGTGTTGCCAGCTACTCTCTTGTTCATTTGTGACGGTATAGTAGCTTGCAACTGACGTTTAGGTAGCGGCACATTGACTACAAGTACCGAAACTTCGACCGTTGGTTTCCTCGTTGTTAGTGGAGAGGAAGTGATGCGCGCTACCCCTTGATTTATTTTGTTAAAGACACTTCTCGGAAGTTTTGACGGCCTTGGGTTTGGACTTTCTGGAGTCATCTGGGAACTAAGGGTCTTTATCTTCTCTTTGAGAGAAGCAATTTGTACTTTTGCCCTGCCCTCGACAACTGCTAATAGGTTTTCAAACCTGTGTGATATCCGTTATGTATTTGATAATAGGCAGTTTGGAACATTCTCCACAGAACCAGAAATAGTCTGTCTGTGAGACTAATAGTTTTACCTGTTTTGCCGAGAGTTTAGCACACGAGGGATGAAAGGATCGTATGCAGTTTGCGCATGAGATGCCGGTCTTGATTTCTTTTCCATACTTCAATTCACCGCATACTCCTGGTCCTATTGTGACCCCTGGAGCGGCACTAGTTGACATACCTCGACGACCCATTTCGGATTGACTGTGAAGGGCGAGGTTGGCTGCAGTTGACAAAGGTCAAGTGCAATGAAAAGTGAACGTCCGGACCGATCACACGTATGTGTTGATAATTCTCACTGACGCGTAGAACAAAGACACGGGTTAACTTGCGGGTATCGATCGACTGAACTGGTCGTAATGGGATGGACGCACGGGTGAGTGATGGTGCAAATGGCACAAAAACTGAATTGCACACAAATATCTCCAGCGCACCTGAAATTGGGCGTAGAAAGCTAAATTAAGATTTGTTGGATGGAGCGGAATATTTCCTTCACAATGGTATCACAACACTGACACTTTGAAGGAAAATGAACAACTTTGCACTCGTGAGCATTAGCAAAATATTTGCTACAAATCACGGAAACGCATGGCGGTGTATGGTATGGTTCATATCCGAGAGAGAGAGAGAGAGATATCGCTAGATAAATCTCACAGAGCTGAGTCGAACGAGCGTGAAACTCGTCGAATTAGAAGTGAACCCCATTAACGTGGAAATATACATTTATTTTACGATAAGTGGTACCTAAATAATCCGACAAAATATCTCTGGCAGCTCATACACCAGGACTTTTGGCCAACTCCCCTAGGTGAACTACCAGTGGTCCACCAACCCGAGCATAGCCCCGGGTATCGGCTTTTCGTCCTCTCACTTTGGTGGGAAACACCTCCGCCACGAAAAGGCAGTGAGTAGGGCTTCCTCAGCAGAGGCTATTTGAGACGCTTAATCGTTAGGAGCATTTCGTGAGGCGCAAGAGAAGGGTCACCAACTGCGACCCTAGACACCCACATACTTTAAGAGTAAATTCATACCTTTTCAAGCATTCTGGCCTGATAAGAAATGACAAGAACGCCACTGCTGTCGGTTAGTCGCAATATCCCCCAGTGTTTCCAACCAACCAGGTCCAAAGTCTTCTGGACCCCAACCTGGAAGATGGGAGACACGTAATAGCTCTGTGTATTTCTTCATGTCCCGTTTCTACGTCATCTGCTGACCTCCAAGTGGTTTCTTCCAACCTGGAGCCGCGACTGCGAATAAGGCGCGGTGCGGTACTCGATGGCTGGGCATGCACAATACTTGTCCTAACCAGCGAAGCCGACCAATCTAAATTCGATGGGACAACGAATTCTCCATCGAATCATTACCAAATACGCAACGACTTACGTCAGAGTTGGTTACACACTCACTCCATCCAACCCACGCCAAACTACATAAACATCGGAAGTCAAAGACTTCAAGACGACGAATATCTTCCACGCGCAGATTTAGGGTCTCGCAACCATAGAGCAGAACTGACCGCACGGTGACGCAGTATACCCGACTTTTCAGTTTCAACGAAACATCGCGTCTGCACCAAAGGTGCTTCAATCCTACTTAAGCTGCTCCAGCCTTGGAAATGTGCGCGGTCACTTCATTGACTACGCTGTCATTCGTCATGCAGTAGGAGAAATATTCCAATATTCCTAAATCTTGACCATCAAGCATCAGCCCCAGGGTAGACGATACCCAATATTGTGTGTGACGCAATTCGAGGACTTGACGCAGAAGGAAGATTTGGTCGATGCAACCACGACTTGGTCGGAATCCGCCTTGCTGTTCACGGATATTCATCCCCCTAAAGGGTGTCAAGCGGTGAAGTATCACAGAAGTCAACACTTTTCAGATTCTCAGAACTAAACTAATCCCACGGTGGTTAGCGCAGTCGTTGCGTGATCTTTTCTTGAAGATCGGGACGATTAACGATTCATCCCAGGACAATGAGATACGCTCCTCCGTCCAAATGCTGCGAAGTAAGCTAGCAATTGAGTCGACAAGAGAATCACCGCCCACCTTGAAAAGAATAAGGAAAAGCCCATCAGGTCCCGCAGCCTTTCCTTTCTTTAATGATTGAATGCAGCTTCGTGATTCCAATTCCAATGGGGGCTCACGTGTTACAAATGTTATTATGAAGTAAAATGAAACAAAATAAACACCCACATCAGACTTGTAAATGTAGGATGCACTCACGCTTTCCCAAAACCACAAGAGCCATCAAATTTGCTGAATACCATTGTTCGTGGAACTCCAGCAACTGTTCCCGGACGTTTACACTCCGCGCACACGGAGACTGATGCAGTGATAACCGGTTGCCTGAAAAGAATCGCGAATACTCGTGACCCGGTAAGGACAAAGAACGCTCCAATTGAAAAAGCCGACGTGTATCATTGGTGAGGTTCTTTTCAAATTCAGCCTGAATCGCGTTTATCTAAAGATCACATAAATGCATAGAAATAAACACCAATTGATCAATTCAACATACGGAATGAGCGGAAATTGTATTGGAGATTTGGTGACTTTTTATACCAACCGAGCGCAAAAAAGAACTCATGAGCATCGACGGGAGGCAAACTGAGACAACAGTAAGCGTGTACAGATTTTACTCCCATTGAGGCTGGATAATTCTTCGAGTGTGAAAAAAGGGAGCAATATGACTAACGAGAACGACCGTTGTTGAAAACATCAGAAAAAGAATTACAAATAGGTATACGTCAGTTAGGAATAAATGATAATCGAGCTTAAAAAGGGAATTCCCCATAAGTTACTTGCATGAGTAAGCGCATGAATGAAATACTGAAAATTTCATGTCGAAATAAATCATCGACGATGATTACTTCTGTTTATTTCGACCGCTGACAGGAGAATGAGTAACAAAAATTCTTGGTCATGTACCCATGTACTCATTTCGAATCAAACCACGAAGCATCAGACTGCAGCTGAACAATTCGGCAACCTTCGACTTGGCTCATAAGATGCATTTGTGTTTCACACACGTTTGAATCTAGACCGTGTGTCAAATAAATCATAGTGCAATCATTTTCATAAAAAGAGGTTTTTCACGATTTGTTTTTGGGTGGAATGCTACCACGTTTTCCAGGTGTAACGACCCTGGCAACTTGCCATTCCGTTTGAGTGAGTCGTGTTCATGTTTCACCGGACCTTTGCACATTTCCCTCAGTAAAGCGCTTTCGAAATTCGATCCACGGTCGGAGTGCAGCTGTCCGGGTGCACCCCATCTGTCGAGTGTGGCGTCTGTTACAGTCACAGCGTTCGCTTGTTTCAAGGGCATTACCTCACACCATTTAGCGAAGTAGTCAACCAGTACAAGAATGTATCTATGGTTCATTAGCGTGTCCGGTAGGGGCCCAATTATGTCGACACCGACCATTTCATTCGCGTATCCAGCAGTGATTGTCTGNTGATAGTACTCGATCTATCACAAAGGGTCCGCGCCATTCTTTATAAAGTTTCGCTGGTACTCCCGGAATCGTCTGTCTTGTGAAACCATACCCGGTCGCTTGTTCGTAATGGGGCTCCGAAGCACTGCTTGTCGTAATAATCCTGATATCTCTGCGATGCTTCGAGGTGTGTGCAGGCCATCTAGTTCGCTGTTCTTAATGAGTCGGTCATCTTCGATGTGTACTCTGTGGCCATCAGTTGCTGGCGGTCGATCGTTGGTAGTCAGTCGCTAGGAGGTCTTATCTCTCTGCCAGTCCACAGGAAGTGTGGTGTCTGGCCCGTGGATTGTTGGATCGTGCCGTTATACGCTAGAAGGCGGCGTGGCAGTACGCGGTCCCATTCCTTGAGGTTGGTGTCTGTGAAGGCCTTCAGCGAGGATTTTAATGAGCGATTTGTTCTTTCCACCTGGCCGTTACCTTGGGGATAGTTGATCGTTGTTCTCGTCTTGTGTGTGTCTAGGGCTTTGCACACTTCTCTCAGTAAAGCGCTTTCGAAATTCGATCCACGGTCGGAGTGCAGCTGTCCGGGTGCACCCCATCTGTCGAGTGTGGCGTCTGTTACAGTCACAGCGTTCACTTGTTTCAGGGGCATTACCTCACACCATTTAGCGAAGTAGTCAACCAGTACAAGAATGTATCTATGGTTCATTAGCGTGTCCGGTAGGGGCCCAATTATGTCGACACCGACCATTTCATTCGCGTATCCAGCAGTGATTGTCTGGAGTGGTGCCCGATTACTGTGGGACGGATTTTTGAAACTGCCGCAGAGTTCACATGCGTTTCAGAAGTTTACGACCCCTATGTAGATGTGGCCACCAGAAGTGTTGTCTCGCTGCAAACTCCTGTCGCGACGCCTATCGCGCCACCATGGAGATTGTCCAACTTGCACCAACCAATATGTTGCAACAGTGTGGCTGCAACGGGCAGAATACGGGCGTTGGCAAGCAGTCCAGGCAAACAACCCAGAAACAGCGCTCATCTACGACAGACACTGCTCAGGCGGTGACTGACCTACCACCCGTGATATGGAAAGAAAGAGCTACGAGAGCCGGTGCCTTTGATCAATGTGGAACCAGATGAAAATGGTGGAAGGAGTGATGTTTCTCCACTACGGTCCAAATCACACATCACGGATAGTACCGCAGACATTGGTTCGCGAAGTTCTCTAAGACCCACATACAGAGTTAGGTCACGCGGGTATCAATAAACTAGAGTTGGCAGCGAGACACCTACATAGGGGTCTTAAACTTCTGAAACGCATGTGAACTCTGCGGCAGTTTCAAAAATCCGTCCCACAGTANCGAAGATGACCGACTCATTAAGAACAGCGAACTAGATGGCCTGCACACACCTCGAAGCATCGCAGAGATATCAGGATTATTACGACAAGCAGTGCTTCGGAGCCCCATTACGAACAAGCGACCGGGTATGGTTTCACAAGACAGACGATTCCGGGAGTACCAGCGAAACTTTATAAAGAATGGCGCGGACCCTTTGTGATAGATCGAGTACTATCAGATACAAACCGTGTCATTCGGGAAGTTGGATCGACGCAACCATCCTTTGTGGCACATTTCAACCAACTCAAACCATACCTACCACACATCACGCCGGAGACAAGTAACAGCGAAAACAAATTGAACCCGCCAGAGGTTGCCGTCGAAGTAGAGGTACCGATTGACGGAGGAATCGCTAGGACGTTGAGGCCGACACTTTCGGAAGAAGACGATAATGTAGTGTGAAACCGAAACTGACTGACGCCCAGTAATTGAATGTCGAACCACTTTTCCCTCTTTCCTTTTAAAGACTGTACAAGTTGCGGGACGCCCAGCACAGTGATACAAGACACTGAGAACGAAGATCAAAACAGCACCCACACGTAACATTACCATTTTGTATTGTAACCATTTCATATTCTTATCAATATAATTTCGTCCGAATCCGTCGAGTCTTCTCCCTGACCGAAACATACTACACAGGTCAAGACAGGTGAATTTTCTTATTGGCAGTTCACAACCGGAGCCTTCGGATAGCCAAAGTCTGACCCGCAAGGTAGCGGGGTGGTGTGAAAACCGTAATACAAGGGGGGGGGGCTGGTGTCCAGTCCATCGGATTATAGTCCCTTTCGACGGCGTTAAATATCCGAGGTGCCCAACTGAGCCGGTGACCACTGCCACAACGAAGTTGTGGGTGAGTGCAGTTTGTACGCCTCTTCTAGTTTGGTTTGGAATCAGGGTTTTAAGTCAACTCCAAACTGACCGGAAAACAACTCCACCACAAGAAAGCAGTGAGTAGGTTATTTATGAAGCGACGTAGCAGTAAGACTGACTTGTCGTTGCAGTATCAAGAAGGCTTGGTTACTGGCTTCCACCTTCCAGGTTGGGGCTCAGGCGACGAGAACAGTCGTTGGTTAAAGACGCCGACAAACATAGTTCAAAACGGAAGTCAATGTTGTGCACACCGGTCAATCTGCCGAAATTCCCTGTCCCATAAAAAATAAACAAGAAACAAAACAAATACGAAGAAACAAACAACAAATACTTGTTGTTCCATTTATTTTGTTTCTCCTCATGTTTCGTATATGTACCCAAAATCCTCTTCTAAATTTGTATGTTTTTTGTAGTCTCGGATCTGACGTTTACGACCGACAAACCTCAACTGATTCTCGACTGAATCAATCGCTACGCGATGACCATCGATCTGGAAGTTAAAACAGCGACAACCTTCTCATGGACATATAATCAGTACCTGCCCGATAAAGACGAGCAAATCTAGAATGTGCTATCCTATAAATACCTCGGTTCGTATGTGTTGTCTTGATGTTAAGATAATATAGTCGATACGTATGCCTCTTTGTCTAGGCCCCAACAACTGGAGAAAGAACACTGCCGAGAAACGACAGTCAGAGAGTATATTTGATCATGAAACAACAAGCAAATATATGTGGTCAGTTGGGCGTACGCGAGCAGACGTGGTGACGCGCCAATCAGATCGTGACCTTGACACTCAGGTTGATCGACCGGANGCGTGGCAGGACGGATTTTGTGCGCTCCGTTTTGAGAGTATCGCTCTCAAATGGTGGAGCGAAGGAAGAGACAACAACGAAGACGGATACTGTATATAGAGCGTACCTACAGGCATGTTACACGCGCTGAACCCGTAATGATAGCAGTCTTCAGACCGCGATTAGCGATTTTTGTGCTGCTGTCTCATTCGTAACCCCCTCCGCGTGTGACACCACCACTGTGAGCCGAGGAAACCAACCGAGAAGTACTTGACCATCGGTACCTACAGCTCGGCGAAAAGAATAATCGGCGCTATTTTACTGAACATATCTAGTTTCCACCTACGCCAGTGACTGCTGTAGTTTGGACACGTACTACGGTACCCGATACGAAATGGTCCAGGCAAACGCTGTGACTCGTATCTTGTTTGCAGCAACCCTGTGAACTGAAAATATGGATTAGTACTGTCGTGAGGTGCTACTCACATTTGTGAGTAGTGTGCAAAATAGTTGATTTCTTTCAACGACCAAAAATTAGCAAGACAACCGAGGGCAAATTGCTGGGACTCAAAGAATAACTACCGATTGCTATATTCATTACCCGGTGTGCTGCCAGGAACTGTGATGGTACGTTTCAGATGATATTCCTGTGTTATGCATGCCAAATTAGTCATGTCACAACTACAACCACAATAAACGACTACCCTCGACCGAGCACCACCTTTTGGAATTATAACAGTACAGACAACAAAAGGCTTTAGACACATTGGTCTGAAGTTGGGCTTATAGATCATACTATAGGAGACAAAACCGGAGGACGATTTGTATCGATATGGCATCCAATCGGTAAACATGCAACGCAACGATGCGCAATGTCTATCGAGCGGTATTGTCCTCTTGCAGGAAATAAGTGTGGAAAAGTAAGTGATCAGGTCGGAAGAAGAAAGTCACTCAAAAGTCATCATACTAAGTACGTATAAGCGTTATGAATAATACTGAAGAATAGAAAAATAAAAAATAAACGTTTTGCGACATGAACAAAAAGGGAGGAAATTGATGCATCACTGTAAGAGTGCATATAAGTCACTTGTGTGAGAGTGGAAGTTACCCCGCTAGTGCGAAAATCTTTGATCGCTTACGACAACGCAACAGCTCTTTTTTGTTCAAAGGATACTTGCTAAACGGAATGGATTTCAGCATTTGGTTCAAACTTCAGAGCATTATGGATTTCAGGACGAGCACTATTTATTGATATGATTCGCTGTCGGAATTCCGGCTCATTTTTACCTGTGCCAGATTGTCAAACAAACTGGGAAAGCACCGTAATCTACTATAGGGACAATATGCCGAAGATGATGTCTCATGGAATCGGCCGGTGTACGAGTTATATTACGTAATTCATAACACAAAAAAAACAGAAATAATCCATGCACTAGTTTAGGGTATTTAGAGGAAACTCACAAAACAATATATCAATTATTGTACCGTAATGCAAACAGCAGAAATGAGATACTCACTTCTCTATCCGTAGCAGATTCTGTGAATAAAGGAGATATGAAAAACTGAGCGAAAATATCTAAAGCTTCTTCCAAATTGGCCGGGTTGATATCAAAAGCAAACGAAGTTTCATCCGGTTTTGTAGCAGCATTGCAGTGTCCGCCGTGATCCGAAATGAATTTTGAGTAAGTATTTTCTTGTGGATACTTTTCCGTGCCCAAAAACAGCATGTGCTCACAAAAGTGTGCCAAGCCAGGCAATTGCCGAGGGTCGCATAGAGAGCCTAAAAATTAACTTTTCGGGATGGAACTTACCAACATTTACTGTCATACACGCTGCCGCTTTATCGGTCTCTGGGTCGCTAATAAGTAGGACCCGCATATCATTGCTAGCGCGGTACGCTTTGTATACGCGTTTGTCGTTGGGTGACTTCGTCACACCATCTGACGGGAAATCGCTTGTAGTATCTTTGAGCATTTTACGATGCGTAGGTTTGATTAAATTGGATAAACTACTCGTGAGAATGCTGAAATTTAAAAAGAAAATTGAACAAAAGAACAAATAAATTCATAGAAAGACAATCATCTGTAGTTGTGATTTTTATTCCACACATTTTTGTGTGATGAACGAACCCCATAGTCACGACGATCTGCTTCTCTGTCATGTAAACCGGTAACCTAAGCCTCGGAACTTGTAGTGGCGAACCACATAAGGCCCAGCTGGGTTAGAAACAATAAGAGAAACGGAACAGGTTTGACTTCAATTACCGATGTCTAGGAAGGCAAATGAATACAGAGTACTACTGTAATCCTCGTTATTGTTTCACAAAACAGACGGAGCCTGTTTATTTGGACGGTGCAGAGTGGGTAGTGTATTGAGTGGCAAAGTTAAAGTCTAAACTAGTTCGCGTGAGGTGCAACCGTCACCATCACCATCATTGTGCAGCAAAACACAGTGAAGTGAACTTCCCTGATTGTTTCCAAACTCGCAATGTATACAAAGTTAGTAGTAACATGTAAGGTAGACAGGGGTTGGACCTACTTTGAGGGAGGAGGGGATTCAGTGGTCAGCACAGAGTACGCAATTTAACTTTGCATACAGCCTTTCAACCATTCTAAAGTGATAAAAAAAATGACAACAATGTCACTGATGTCAGATCCTTCAATGTCTTCAACCAGCCAGTTGTAAGGCTTTTCGAACCCCAACCTGGAAGGCACGTGGCACCTACTCTACCCAATGTCTCTGTGCATTTCTTCATACCCCGTCTCCATGTCATCTGTTGACCTCAACGGGGTTTCTTCAAGTCCGGAGCGGATAGTAAATAAAACGCGATGCGGAAGACGAAAGCTGAGTATACGGAATACGTGCCCCAGCCAATGAAGACTATTAATATGAATTCGGATAGCTGGCAATTTTAATACTAGTAAACTCCCAAACACGACGGCTCACCTGCAGATTGCTAATCGGTAGGCTCCATCCCACGTGGGACAAACGACATAAACGCCGGAAAGCGAAAACTTCTAGTTGATCAATCGTCGTCTCGTCGCAAGGTCTCACAACCATAAATCAGAAATGAACGAACGGTAGCAAAATATGCACAACCTTTCAACTTCAGTGAAAAGTCGCATCTACACCAAAGGTGTTTCAGTCCTCCATATGCTGTTCGAGCATTGGAAATGTGGGCGGTTATCCCCCTCGCTGCGCTACCATCATTGGTCACAACTACCGAAGATGAAAAAGAAATCCCCCATAGCAAAATCCTGGCCGTTTGGTTTCAGTTTGCACTTTTAGGGTGCAAAGCACATGCCGAATGTGGAAGCAGCACTTGACATACCATCAAGTGCGTTTCGCGAGTCCTCCATAGATTCTAACAGATAGACGATGTCATTGGCGTACTTCAAATCGAACAGCTTTTCTCCTGCCTACGTTTTGGAGACCACTCAGGGTGTTCTTCACTTTTTCATCTACGACGAAGTTGAACATTAATGGTGAAATGAGGCACCGTTGACGAACGCCACTACTGATGATGAACAACCCTCATTCGACCAGGAGAATGTGAGGACAGTGACTCAGTAAGTCTCCGTACTGGAGCATTCTTTTCCAAAAAGAGTACCCTTTAGAGCTTCGTGATCAACTGAGTCGAAGGTTCCTTTCAGGTCAGGAGGCACTGCAATCTTTAGTCGACGGTGGATGTGACGCAGCTCAAGGACCTCATGCAACGTAAAAATTTCATCAATACACACGACTAGCCCGGAATTTTGCACACTGTTCACTGATGCTGGTTTCTGCCTCTGAAATTCTCAGTATGGTCGGGGGTGGGTGTCTAAGGTTGTAGCTGGTCACCCTTCCCTTGCACCTCACGAAATGCTCCCATACGACCAAGTGTCTCAAATAGTCTCTGCTGAGGAAGCCCTATTCATTGCCTTTTCATGGTGGAGGTGTTTCCCATCAAAGTGAGAGGACGAAAAGCCGATACCCGGGGCTATAACTGGGTTGGTGGACCACTGGTAGTTCACCTAGGGGAATTGGTCGAAAACCCTGATTCCAAACCAGCCAAGAGGAGGCGTACGAACCACACCCACACCTTCCGGCTTGTAGCAATGGTCACCGGCTCGATTGGACATCGAGGTGTATTGGGCACCTTGGACGTTTGACCCCGTGCGAAGGGCGTATGATCCGATGAACTGGACACCGGCCCCCAACGGATTGCGGTTTCCGCAAACCGCCCCGCTGCCTTGCGGGTCAGGCTTTGGCTAGCTGAAGGTTCCGGTTGTGTATTCCTTAAGAAAATTCACCTGCCTTGGCCTGGACAACCTGGCAGTATTCAGCCCACTTGCAAATCGTGGAACGTTTTTCTTTTTATAAAGATTATTGTATTACAATTGTTTGACACACAGTCGGAACTCAGACGTGTGTGAAATATAATAATAATAACAATAATAATAATAATGCTGGTTTCTCATAGGAATTAGATATTGAAGTATGACGGAGACTAATACTTTGGTGACGATGGGGATCCTGTTGAATCGCAATTAGCTCACACACTAGATCGGACTCATAACATGTACGAAATGTTGAGACAGACAGACGATGATGAGCTAATCGATTTTGCTGTTTTTTTCTGCCGGTCAGTGAGTTGGAGTGAGCTGCATCAAAAACAATGCGTGGTCCGACTAAATGCAGGTGGTCCAATAGGACCTGAGTCACGCCAACAGCAACCTACTGCTGTGGTCGATTTGAGTTAGCGTGCCAGTGGAACATTGCCGTCTAAGGGATGAATCGGACGTTGGTACGGGAAAGGAACAGATGATGATCTCCACAGGACTAAAACCGATCACCGTTCTTTGTTTACTGACAGGGCAGAGCAGAGCTATTGCGTAGGCAAACTTCTGATGCGCTCAGTTTTCAAACCTGGGAGTTAAAATCACCTGCAGGTACAACTTTTTCGGAACTTGGACTCAACCGAATAAGTTCGGTGAGTTTATCGTATAAATCGTCTCTCTGTGCAGCAGAACTGCATTTGGTCGGTGCACATACCGATATGATGAAAAACAGCTTGTGGTGTTGGTTCCCTTCCGTAAGCTGACTGAACCCTGGAGACGCATCGCACATGACTGTTGAAGAGGAGAGGACTGGGCCCTGTTACTGAGGGCATTACCTACCTCGCGCGACCTAGTAAACGGAATTTGTCGCCGCCTTGTGTCCCAAGAGCGTGCCTCTGGCGCACTCAATTGGCTAATGGAAGTGGGATCCATACGTAGCGAATATCGATCCCTAAGAATTCCCTTGTACAGGTCAGACAAGATTGTTGACATACCTGCATTGAAGGCTCCAGGATTCAGTGATTGATGGAGTTTTACAACAACCTACAATCTATATTTAGGATAATTACTTAGAGTGCGATTTTACGACCTTTGGCGAGCGACAATCAAGTTGCTTGAGGGACTGTTACGGGTCGTAAGAATGGGATAAGACAGAGGGCTGGGTACGGAAGACAAAGAAATAAACAAATGTTGAGATATCTGAGCACTAGCCTTTCATACACCCACGTGTTACCGCATTTCACGTTGAACTATACTTACTCTTCCATTTTTTACATTTTAGCTATTGTACTACAATTGTTAGAAGATTAAAGTTCACATTTGGCCGCACTCCTTGATTACTCAGCACTGGTCGAATATAACACAGCCCAATTATCACTATCCACTTTGCTCGATGCAATGGCAAGGCGTTCCGATTATCCTGCGCGACGACCGATGGAGTATGGAATTAGCTTTTAGTTCGTGTCATGAACTGATGCGTTACCCTATTTCACATGGAACTTTATTAACTCTCTCTTTTCTTACATTGTAGCTTTTGTACTACGATTGATAGAAGATTAAAGCCCATATACGGCCGGACTCCTCTTCTGCATTAACCCGCATATATCGAACATAAAAATTTAATCTTCTAACAATGGAACGTCTCTTCCGCCCCGAACACTGATGCTGATCCTCATTCTCCTACATCCATTGGTGGGACACCTTCGACAATTTTCTTTCAACGGTAAAGATGCCCGATGTCGATACAAGAAAACTCCGCCTCAACTTCATCTCTCCAGCAATTTATCGACAAGTGATCGACTGTTCCACTTACGAGGAGATGCTACGAAGCATAGAAGCTCTGTATATGAAACCGAAAAACGCCATGTATTAGCAAAAACAAAACAATGAAATGGAGAGTCAGTCGATCAGTTTATAAAGCAGCCTCGCTGTTGACTGTAACTTCTTGTCCGTTTCTGCTGAAAAGCATCGTGACGAGGCTATCCGCAACGCTTTCATCACAGGACTAATGTCTAATAGCATTCGCCAACGACTTTTGGAGAAGTACAATCTTGATCTTCAACATGCATTCGAAGAAGCTCGCATATTGGAACATGCTCAGCAACAGTCGCAACTCTGTGATTCAACCCCCTATGTCCCATGCGGTGCTACATCCATGCAGTCAGATGTAGCAGCTACGGTTCCTGTACGAGATGCTTCGGAACCTCAAACCGAAAGACAGGAAGTAAACGGAGCGGTATCTACCCTCTGCTCTTTCTGTGGGCAAACAAGACACCCTCGCTTCAAATGTCCCGCCCGGGAAGCTATTTGTAATTCATGTGGGAAGAAGGGACATTTCCAAATCACAGCATCTCATCATCCCATCGCTACGTCACTATCCACTGGGCTGTCTAACTCTACAGTGCTAGTTCACATTAATGGAATACCGAGTTACGCCGGCGAAACACAACTGGCCTGTGGAGCCTTCTAAAAGCACCATATTCATGGCTTCGACGCGCCTATCTTGTATCACTTCTGGACATGTTTACGCCTCTGAACACTGCAAAAACAATCACTAGGACGGAATTGAACTTCCCTTTTAAACAATCCGTGCACGGATGTAATTTTGGGTCACGATAAAAACATTGTTATTCCCTTTCACGGACATCGACCATCTCTCTCCCTATGTGCTCTCAAGGCTGCACACGTCAATGCTCCTCCCCTATTCAGGCATTTACCGCCCAATTGTGTTCCCATCACCACCAAATCACGCGATCACTCTGCCTCGGATTTGTCGTTCATCGAGACCGAAATTCGAAAATTATTTATCGACCATATTATTGAGCTTTCAGACTCACCCTGGCGAGCGCAAGTCCTTGTGACTACAAATGAGAGACACAAGAAGCGCACGGTTGTCGACTGCATTCAAATAATAAACCGATTCATTCATCTTGATGCACACCCTCTCCCAAAGGTTGACGAACTAGTAGAGAAAGTGTCTCACTATTCCCTCTTCAGTACCTTCGACCTTCAAAGTGCTTACCATTAAATCCCCATCCTCGTAGAAGATAAACCGTATACAGCCTTTGAAGCATGCGGTAAGTTGTATCAATCCCGCCACCTTCCATTCGGAGTTAAGAACGGAGTGGCCTGCTTCCAACGAGCCATAGGTAATATTATACGTGA